GGAAGCACCTGGGCGTTGGGGCTCCACCGTGAGCATCCTGTGGGCTGAGCCCTGGCATGTCACGCAGAGCTGGTCGGGTCCACGGGCCCGCCGTGGTGAGCCTGAAATGGACCGCTCTCACGTGCACCTGAAGCCTGAAGCTCAGGTGGCCCAGGGGTCTCCTGCTCATGGTCCTGGGGCTGAAGGCGGTTCCAGCCCCTCCTTCCTTGGACAGGGACACTGAGGTTGCGAGAGAGGACCTGAACCAGAGCGGGGCCGTGCAGCTGCAAACGTCCGTATCCGTGATCAGCTGTGCTGGTGAAGCTGACCGAGATCTGCCCAGGGGAACGGCTCCCTGCCCGTCATCCACAAGGCATCCTGGAGGGGCCGTGTGTCTCGAGATGCACCTGAAACAAGTCATCCACCCGCAAGGGGCGTCTCCTTGCCCATCCGTGCAGTGTTACTCTAACCTCGGATGAGCCAGACCCAAGGAGTCACACTCAGGGCCCCACAAGCAGTCCCTGAAGAATGCTGAGGGCAAGGTTGCCACAGGAGGGCTTCTGGGAGGAGGTGACAAGGGGGCCTGGTTAGGCTGAGCTTGGAAATGGGGCGTGAGCAGGCATGCAGAGCCTCTAAGGCCTGTTGCAACTCGGGGTCCTGAGTACCCAGCTGCCACCTGACCTGCCTTTTCGATATGCCTTCTCTCTCCCTCTAATACATGCTCTTAAGGCCAGCCGATGCCCTCTGACAGGCAGGCCCCTAGAAGACTCCCATGCCTGCAGACCCTCACCAGGGCAGAGCTCCTGCAACAGAGAGGGTTAGTGGGGGAGAAAGTATAGAGTCCCGGGAGCTTGTCTCATCCTCTTCATGAGTAATCATTTGACCTTCTACAGGTCATTTGGTTTCCCTGGGCCTCAGCTTCCTCACCTGTAAAATGGGCTCATGTGTAATGCCTTGGCTCATGATGGTCATGTAAAATCTCTGAATGTGTGAAGGGAGCTTTTAACCTGGTGGTTCTCAATCCTGGCTGCACCCAGGATCCAGAGACCTCTGAAATCTACCGATGCCTGGTCCCATCCTAGGAGAAACCAATTCTAATGGGTCTTAATAGTACCCCAGGGATGTGATAAGTGGAGACTTTTCGCTCCCTGCTCTTCTGCACTTGGTACAATGGAAAAGCCCTAGAACAATAGGGAGGATGGCCGTAGAACTCTGGAAAGAGGAAGGTGGACTGGCCAGAGACCTGAGGAAAAATGCAGGACCTGTGTCTCCCGCCTGCCATGCAGTGGACAAGGAGACTAAGTAAACTGCCCTCCCCGGCACCCAGCCCAGGGAGACACTCTCCATCTACGGCCAGTGTCTCCCACCCTGACCTCAGGGCACAGAGCAACCAGGAAAGCACCTTTCATCACCAGGGTGTTACCAGCAACACCAGGTGGATGCTGAAGACCAGAAGAGCAGTTTAACAAGCATTCTGAAAACTAACTTCAGAAGCACAGTCCCCAGTAAGCCAGGCCCCACATGTTAAACCTAAACAGGGAGATGGCCTGCTAACATGGAAGACTTAACTAGGATCCAGACCTCCTAGCATAAAATTCTCGTGTCTGGGATATAGTAGAAAATCACTCATCACAGCAAGATCCATGAACATAACTACTTGGATGAGAGAAGACAGTCAGCATGTTCTCGCTGTTGTTCAGTCCCTCAGCCATGTCCGACTCTGTGACCCCATGGACTGCAGCACGCCAGGCCTCCCTGTCCTCCACTGTCTCCTGGAGTTTGCTCACTCATGTCCATTGAGTCGGTGATGCCATCCAACCATCTCGTCCTCTGTCGTCCCCTTCTCCTCCTGCCCTCAATCGTTCCCATCATCAGGGTCTTTTCCAATGAGTCAGCTCTTCGCATCAGGTGGCCAAAGTATTGGAGTTTCAGCATCTGTCCTTCCAATGAATATTCAGGGTTGAGTTCCTTTAGGATGGACTGGTTTGATCTCCTTTCTGTCCAAGGGACTCTCAAAAGTCTTCTCCAGCACCACATTTTGAAGCATATCCTAACACTGAAAAGACATTAGAATTATCTGAGGAGGATTTTTAAGGCAATCATCACAAAAATGCTTCAACCAACAATTACAAATACTCTTGAAACAATTAAAAAAGTAAAATAAAAAAAGTCTCACAGAAGGAATACAGGTTCTAAAACAAAAAGAATTCAATGGAAATGATGGAACTGAAAAATAAAATAAGCAAGATTTAAAAATTCACGGGTGAGTTCCCTAACAGAAGAGAAGGCTCTGTCAGAGGAGAGATTCTGAGCTTGAAGATGGAATAAGAGAAGTGATCCAACCTGAACAGCAGAGAGAAAATCGGAAAAAAGACTGAACAGAACCTGTAGGATAACACTTATGTCATTGGAGGCCCAGAGGGAGAAAATGGGTCCAAAAAATATTCACAGAAATATTGCCTGAAAACAAAAAAATTGACAAAAAGACATAAACCTACAGGCTCAAGAAACTGAGTGAACCCCAAGTAGGTTAAGCCCAAAGTTATCCACAACCACACTTAAACTTCAAAACCTGAAGACAGAAAAAACAATCTTGAAAGTAGTACAAGAGAAAAGATACTTTTTATTCCCTACCAGGGACTCCAGTGCGAATAACAGCCAACTTCTCCCCAGAAACCATGGAGGCCAGAGCAAGATGGCACATTTTTCAGGTGCAGAGCAGAGAGACATTTGCTGTCGATGTGAATTCTATCTTGGGTGGAAATATCCTTCAGGAATGAATGGCACATGGACACCTTCTCAGACAAAGGAAAACTCAGCAAAGCTTTCGCTGGCAAACATACCTGTCTAAAGGACATACTGCATATGGGAAGTGATTAGAGGGCTCGGAAATTCAGAAAGGAAGAACATACAAGTAGGTAAAAATATCATATCAAACTGTCTTTCATTTTGATGAGTTTCTTAAGTCATTGTTGATGATCAAAGTGAAAATCATAGCAGCATCCGATGCAGAAACTCAAGGCAGACAGAAGAAAGAGCTAAGACAGTCATAGTTGATGAGTCAGGAAAACGAGGTGGCCTGATGGAAGTGAGGTCTCTACGCTTCATGCGAGTGTGGGACACTCAGACAGAGCCCGGCAGCCTGAGCCCGGGGGGTTTTTGAAGCTGGTTTTAGAAGATGGCAGTGCTTCCAGGTGGAGAATCACTGGTTTAGAGCAGATAAGACTAGAGGTGAGGGCATAGCTGATCCCGGGACCCTAAGGGGTGTCAAGCCTCAGTGAGCATCAGAACGCCCTGGAGGGCTTATAAAACACAGGCGTAGGACCCCCAGCCCCAGAATTCTGCATCTGTAGGTCTGCGGTGGGGCCGGAGAATCTGCCCTTTCTGACAAGTTGCCTCTGGCGCCGCTCGCCGGAGACCCCGCTTTGAGATGTGCCGCCAGCCACCCTTGGCTGATCAGGAGTTCCTGGGTCTCCGCTGAGGTCCCCTTAGACCCTCAGCCCCACAGCCTCACACCCCTAAGAGTTCTGGCTCTGTGCCTAAACTGGGGAGCAGGTGTGTCCTGGCGGGACCCCGGGACTGTAAGTCAGGAGGCCTCATCTTGCGGCTCAGGACCGGGTGAGCTTGGCCAGGTTCCTCTGTGGCCCTGGGCCTCCATCTTCCGTGAAATGGGAGGACCTGGGGCCCAGGGCGACGGCAGAAGTGAGAGGCGCCCCGCGGGCCGGGCCCGGCCGCCTCGCCCCGCTTCGCTTTCTCCAGCTCTGCTGTCTTCTGTTTCACATATCAGTTTTCACACAGGTTTCCTGTGACGAGAAGGCTCCTTGGCTAAAACAAGTGTGAGACCCCTGCCCTTGACTTTGTAAAGGGCCCCTCCTGACCCTCATCCAGAACCTGCTCACAGGCCATCTGGGGACACGCAGGTCCCCGAGGCAGGTCTCCAGCTGAAGCCTTCTCCTGCGAATGTGGCCTACTTGGAAGGCCGGCTCTCCCTTCCCTCCGCCAACCGCCAGGAGAAAGGCACCCAGATTAACAGCACCCTCTGTTCGGAAGCTGGCCTTCCTGGAGTGGGCTGCAGGGCAGGGGGCTGGCAGGCGGTTCTGCGCACAGTGCCTGCCTCACCTCCGGGGGGCTCGGTCCTCTGTCCTTGGGGAGATTCCGGTGGCTCCCAGGAGCGCGTGCTGGGAATGGGGATCCCTGGAGTCAGCAGATGTGGCCACTGCTCTTCATGGGCGCACAGACTATGGAAAGACAGATGTTCAGATATCTGGGGGAAGTCCGCACCCCAGGGTGGGTAGGGGTCCCCTTCCCCCCAGGGATCCCAGCTCTGCCCTTTGTTCTCCTTCCGGAGAACATCCCACACTCATCTCTGAGCCAGAAACTTCCGCTCTGTTCTCTCTAGACATGGCACTGAAGTGGTTAATGATGGGGTGGGGGGTGGGGGGGCATCTCAATGTCCTGGGCTCCCCGGGAGAGCCAGGAAGGTGAGCGATGGAGGGGGATCAGGTGTGGGATTTTGCACAGGGAACTCAGAGCCTATGTCTCAGACTGGCCCCTTGAGAAGTTAGACATTAGGGTTTTAATGTGAAACCCCCCAGTTGCAGGCAGCTCCAGGGTTTTGAAAGGTAGTCTGCAGGCCCCCTGTGGTGGAGCTGGGCCTCCGCTGGTCACCTCTGGCTCAGGGTGGCCCAGTCCTGCCCACACAGGGCCCCTTCCCCCCTCTGCTCCCAGCTCTCCTGGTCAGCCAGGTGAGGGGCTGGCCAGGGGACAGGACACGCGTGCCTGCCAGGCAGGGTCAGGCTCCATGGCATTCCCGGGGTCAAGGGTGGGCTCGGGGACACCGCCCCCTTCCCCTGCCCGTCTTCAGCCCGTGCCCGGGGGATCGGGGTCTGGAATGAGGCAGGTGGGATGTTCAGGGCCCTCCCGTGTGACCCAGTCACCCCCCACCCACCGGGGCATACCCCCTTTCCCGCGCCCGGCCGTGCCTGGCCGCCTGCATGACAGCTGTGCTGTGTCTGTTCCAGGGCTTCCCTATTCCAAGTCTGACCCTGTCTCAGGACATGGCAAGAATGGCTTGGACCACCGGGTAGGTACTCGACACCCCACCCCGCACACCCACCCCCGCACACGCGTACTAACCAGCACCCAGGGCTGGTGCGGGGCCCACAGGAGGAGGGGCCCTGGGGACCCCGCTCACCCACCTGCCTGCCTCTGCCTGCTGCCCCACGAGGGCCAGACCACCACCCGACACCCCTCCTCCGTCCGCCCCCAGCCCCCAGGGAGACCCCAGGGTTGGGGGGCGATGGGGCCACTCAGAGGAATCAGACCCTCGTAAGGCCTTCCTGACCCCGTCTCCTGTGACCTGGAGCCTAACGAGGACCAGGAAGGATGGAGGCGCTTCATGAGCCGTGTGGGCCCAGCGTCCACCTCCTCTCCGGGCGTGCCCTTGCCCCCACGGTTAGTACCATGACCGTGCTCACCTCTGACGGTGCCCTCAGCCCTGTGAGCGCTCCTGGGGTCACACGGGGGCTGGCGTCCTCTGCCCTCCCCTGCTGACAGCTGCCTTGAGCACCCCCTCCCGGCTCCCCGAATGTGGGGCCATGAGACTGTAGCCCAGACGGCCTAGCACCTGGCGCGTGCCCAGCCAGGCCCTCTTCCCAGAGCTTGTCTAGGTCCCCAAAGAGGAACCCCGGGTGGGCTGGGCGTGTGGCGCTGGACGTCGCCCACGGCAGACAGGTGGACGCACACACACACCACACACATACACACAGAACACACAATACACAACACACAACATACACAACATACAACACACAGAGAACACACACAGAGAACACACAACATACAGAACACACAACACACACATGACAAGCACACACACAGACACACAAAACACACAACATACACAGCACACACAGAGAACACACAACATACAGGACACACACATAAGCTCACATACACATACCACACAAACACACACACACACACACACAGCCCCGGGACACTTGCTGCCCCAGAGGCAGCCTCTTACCGGATGGAGGACACTGTCCACAGACTGAGCACTTCCATCCTCCCAGAGAAGCCCCTCAGACTTGTCCCCAATTGTTCCCCTGGGGTGGTCCTGTCACCACGTGTGTAATGCAGGGAACAGTGACCCCTTGCACTGACCTCCGACCCAGGGTCCAGCCACGGGTCACATCCTAGAACAGGGGCCCCATCACGGAAGCTGTGGGCATCCTCAGGCCCTGCTCCTTACCCTTGGCCTCTGTGGGCCCTGCTGCTGCGTCTGTCCCGGGCCCGGTAACCCTGTAGGGTTTGCTCAGGTGAACTGCACTCATCCCACTGACCACTCAGGCGAACCACACACATCCCACTGACCACTCAGGTGGACCACACACACCCCACTGACCACTCAGGTGGACCACACACACCCCACTGACCACTCAGGTGGACCACACACACCCCACTGACCACTCAGGTGGACCACACACATCCCACTGACCACTCAGGTGAACCGCGTGCATCCTACTGACCGCTCCCCTGTTTGTTCAGAATGGGCTGAGCTGAGACAGGCGCGTGGCATGCTTCTCTGAATTTCCTTTAAGGATTTCTCCGCTCCTGTCCTCCAGTCCTGTCCACAGGACCCCCATGGCGCGGGAGAAGGTAGATCCTTAGGTTCAGCCTGAGGGTCCTGAGGTTTGAGGGAACGGGTCATAACGCTCCCTGAGTTTCTGCTCTGTGACTCAGGGGCCATGAGCGCCAGGGTCACTGGCTGGACCACGTCCATGCCAAAGCGTTCCCCCCACCACAAGCCGAGTCCAGGGGTTTATCTCAAAATGTGGGAGACAACTAAGTGGATGAGTGTCCGCACCCGCAGGCTTGCATCCTTGGTGGCCGAGCTGTGCGTTGTCTAGGGAGAGTTCCCTCTTGGCTGCCATGCTGGAAGGATGCTGATCAGTGGCCCCAGCCCCTGCGGGGAAGGCGTGGCCTCCAGATGCTCCACCCCCAAGGAGCCTGGGAACAGCTGGTGGAGACAGTCTAGGGGGGACACCGTCTCCAAGCCTCTCCTAGAGCAGACAGCAGACGCTTAAGCTTCACAGAGTTACCAGCTGAGCCCTCCGGGAATGTTTCTCCTGCTGGCCTCAGGGTGGGGAGCAGAGTGTTAGAAAACCTGTGAGCCCTTCTCTACATCTTAGGGAGTTGATAAAGATGGAATTCATCATCCCATGAGGACCTTTAGTTTTTCACATTAGACTAGCTGGGAGGTTGGTGAAAATCCTTGTTGACTTTTCTTTGGGATTCTTTTTTCCCTGCTTACGTTCTCTCCTATTTTTTTCCTTCACTCTTTCTAAGACTCTAATGTAACTGTATGCCTGTTTTTTGGCCGGAAGACCGGATAACTGATGGCCAGTCTTTTACAGCTCAGCCATGTCAGATTAAGTTGTTTCTTGGTTTGTTTTTTTACTTTCTGAAAGGATTCTAGGTGACCTAAATTAAAAGCACAGATGCAGGGAGACCAAATCCCAGAGGAGAGGAGAAGAAAGAAAAGGGAGAAAATTATGGCAGAAACACACAAAGGAACACTGTCTGGAAAAACTATCGAAGCTCAGCTGCGAGCTTCCTGATGACCAGGGCGCAGAGGCTGGCGGGACCAGCTGTTTGTCCTCATTGTCAAGTGGAAGGAAGTTAGTAAATCAGGAGGCGGAAATGCGCCTGGTTCTTGTTCCAGGATGGATTTGGAGCCAGGACCCTAGGTCCCACAAGGGCTTCCCTTGTGGCTCAGCTAGTAAAGAGTCTGCCTGCAGCGCGGGAGACCTGGGTTTGATCCCTGGGTTGGGAAGATCCCCTGGAGAAGGGAATGGCTACACGCTCCAGTATTCTGGCCTGGAGAATTCCATGGACTATATAGTCCATGGGGTCACAAAGAGTCGGACACGACTGAGTGACTTTCACCTTCACTTTCATCCTAGGTCCCAAAGCTTGTTAAAATGTCCTGGTAACTAGCCAACCACAGAGCCTGACATGTGGTGGATAGTCACACCTCTCTGTAGGATAAATAGGAAAAGAACCACCTGTGAAAGTCCTTCCTGTGGACCAGAGAGCACCAGTTCCAACATGTGCCACCTGGCCTGCTATTAAGAGACTAGAGAATCCCATGGACAGAGGAGCCTAGTGGGCTACAGTCCATGGGGTCCCAAAGAGTTGGACACAACCAAGTGACTAACACTGAACAAGGTAGAAGTTAAGGTTAAAAGTGAACTAGTAGTTTCAGTGGTATGAAGAGGGAACAATTCGTTCTTGATGACCCAAGTTATAAATCAATTACAGCATTCATAAACTTAAATGTACCAAGCAACATGACAATGCCAGAGACCTTGATAAAATGCAAGTATGGAAAGCATTTTGAATAAGACTCTTGAAATCATATAAAAATCTAGTGAAGGAAAAAAGTATAGAGAGCAATTTAATAGTGGAAAGAACAAAATTAAATTAATAGGTGTATGAAAAAATCCATATTTTCTGAATTAGGTTTTCACATGTCTGTAAAACATTAATAGAAATGCTCATGTATATCAGTATGAAGGAAACCTTAACGAAGTGTAAAAAGGGTCGAATATGACTGAGTGACTGGATGTGCACACACGCACACACACACACACACACACTCACACTCATCCTTACCTCTTTAAGCTATCATTAGGACAAATAACATGACGGTTGTGAAATCTTCTAAGCTCTGTAAGCCTAGTTCCCAAATGAATAATTATTATAAGAGCACGTCTCCACCCTTTCTTACCTCCACATCACTGGCTCCTAAGTAAAACGGGAGCTTTAGCAAGAAAAGAACAACAGTCAGTGGTGAATGGCCACAGTTTTGTTCTCCGTGTTATCAATCCCAGTATAATTTTTGGAAACTAAAAAGCATCGGTTAAATCTTTTACAGTTCCATGTATTAGCTGTGTGATCTTGGGCAAGTATCTTTACTTCTCTGAGCCTCAGCCATTACACGCTGATAATAATGCCCACCTCCTGAGGCAGCAGGAAGATGAGTTAATGCGTGTGTAGGGCAACTGGCTCCTAATAACACCAAACAAATGGGAGAGGGTCAAAGAGTTGGTTGCTTTTAGATTCTCTGTTCTCTGCTGAGAACTGTAAAGGAGTCAGTTAGGGGTGTGCCTGTGGATGAGGCCTTTCTTGGATCCCCCCAGGCCACTTAGCTGTCCCGCCAGCCCACGCATGGAGCCAGAGGCCAGGGGCTCCCCTGCACCAAAGAGGTCGTGAATGCCCCCCCACACTGGGCACTTAGATCAGGAATAGACTGCTCTTCCCCTGCTCTGGACTGATACGATGCCCCCCGTCCACCTGGGGGTTGCCCCCCTCCCTGCTGAGAGTCTCTGCCCTGTCTCCGAGCCTGGCTGACCAGACGATGCAGGCCCTGCTGCCCGGAAGTGGGTTTCCCACAGCCCCAGATGGTGGTGATGGTCCGTGGCCGGGGAGCTTGCCGCCTGCGATGCAGAGCAGTGGGCACTAGGTGGCAGCATTTCTCCTTCATATTCCGAACAGGCCCCGGGAGAAGGCCAAGGTGGGAGGCAGACCCGCCTTGCTTTGTGCAGGAGGTTCCCTATCCAAACAGGTGCAGGGGCGGGGAGGATGTTTGTCAGCGGCCTGAGAAACCGTCTCCAAATATCGCTCTTGCAACTCCCAAGGGGAGTCCTTCACGGGCGACTCGGTGGGTGCGAGGTTGCCCAGCCCCAGGTCCCAGCGCTGGGACTAGGGTGCGGCGTGCCAGGCTCTTACCAAAGGACTCAGTAATCGAGATAAGCAAGATGTTCATACAATGTTTGTGAAAAATCCAAATTAATTTTTTTAAAATTGGCGATGGACAAACGATCAGATGCGTAAAGACCGCCGCAGCCCTCCGCTTAACGCGCTCACCTGCCTGGCCGCCTTGTCCGGCCATCTCTGGGCCTCAGTTTCCCCCGCTCAGGATGAAGGACGTTGCACTGGGTGCTTCCGGAGGCCTCGCCCTGTGCCACACTCGCGAGGACTGTGACCAGCTGCTCACTTGTCACCTCTCGCAGTAAATGAGTGCTGGAAGCCCTGTCCCTGTAACACGACCCAGGGTGAGGCGGTAACGCCCCCCTGAACTGCAGGGCTCCCTCCGTGGAAATTTAACCAGTGTGCCCAGTTTCAGAAGCGCTGGCCAAGAGCCCTGACCTGGGTCAGATGCTGTACCCGATGCCAGACGTGAGCACACGTGAAATGTTTTCCTCCACTGCGGGAAGTTGACTCAAGGCCCAGACAGACTGGCCAGGACGGGGGCTGACCGACCTGCAGGGCCCCGGTGCCGGTGGCGCAGGCGGGGACCCTCCAGAGAGGTTTGCGGGATGACTTTTTCAGGTGGGCAAAGGGAACGAGAGCTCCAGACATCAGGGTTGGCCGCTGAGATGCCACGGACAGGTGAGGGAGGCACCTGAGAGGGGTGGCCAAGCTCCCAGGTCCAGCGCCCCTCCGAGGGCCAGGCCTTGAGTGCCAGCATGCACAGCCACGCTCATGACACGCGGGGTCTGTGCCAGGGGCTTTACAGACACCGGCCACCCGGGGCCCCTGCGGCCCGCTCGTCCAGTGGGACCGGAGGCCCCGTGCTGGAGCCCCAGCCCCAGTGAGACGCCCTTAGGGTCCGGGCCAGCTGTGGGACCGAGGGGCTGGGCGCCCGGGAGCTGCCATCTCAGCGGCTTAGGAGCTGGTGGGACAGGCAGGGGCGGCCTGAAGGCGGCAGGAGGCGCGTGAGCACACCCGCTCTTGGGGAGCTGGCGGCCTTTCCAGAGCCTGGTCTCAGCGGGCACCCCGGGCCGACCCGCCTCCCCTGCCCGGCTGCCAGAACCCTGGAGACAGCCTGGCCCCTGCAACCTGCCCCTGCTGCCCTCTCTCTTTCTCTTCCAGAATGCCAATGTGGGCCCTGGTGGAGCAGACCCGGATGCCGGCTGGGGCACGCGAGGTACAGGAGGCGGGGACCCCGCGGGTCTCTGGCTGGGGCAGGGGCCGCTGACAGGGCTCCACGAGTCTCCTTCCGAGACCACCCTCCCCCCAAGCGCCGCGGGCAGAAGGCTCCGAGCGCCGGGGAGGCGGAAGTCGGGGATGCGTGTGTCCCCGCCTCTTCCGGTCACGGTTGCGCTTCGGTTCGCCTCCCTCCTGAGTTACGCGATGTGCTTCCTCTTCTCCCTGGGGTGTACCCCTTTAACTCCGGTGCTAACTCAATGCTCCCCCGTCTCCTGCCCTAGGTGCTCCCCTCTGGAGCACGGCCGACCCTGTCCTGACCGACTCCAGGTCACTCAGACGAGAGGTCTGTGTTTGAAGGACCAGCCCAGTCCAGGGCGGGGGCCAACCAAACACCGACTGTCACGTCCACGGCAATAAGGGAGGCGGAGCCGCAGGGAAGCGCCACCTCGGGGCTTCCCAGGCGGCTCCGTGGGTGAAGAATCCACCTGCAACGCAGGAGCCCCAGGAGACGCGAGTTCAGTCCCTGGGACAGGAAGATTCCCCCTGGAGGAGGAAATGGCACCCCGCTCCAGTGTTCTGGCCTGGAGAATCCTTTGGCCAGAGGAGCCTGGCGGGCTGCAGTCTGTGGGGGTGGCAAAGAGTCGGAAGGGTAAAGCCCGTCCAGCTCGCTCGCAGTGCAGCCTCCTGGGGCCTCGCACCGGCAGGATGGCCTGCAGGGAGGCTGGCGTTACTGGAGAGACCTGGTCATGTGGCGGGTGTCTGCTGGGAGGCTCTGCCAGCCCTGAACGGCAGGGCTGCGATGCTCACTCATGGTTGTTACCCAAGGGTGATGGGAGCCTGCTCTCGAGGGCTGGTCCATGCTGGATGCTGGAGTCGGGGCGAGGGGAGGGAGTCGCAGCCTGCACCCTCTGAGAGGTCTCCGGGCTCAGAGCTGGCCTGGCCAGTCCCCCCGCACGGCACACGGGGAAGTTCAGGGACCAGCCGCCCAGTGCCCGAGCCCCTCACTGGTGTCTCCCGCCCGAGAGGGAGGCTTTGCAGCCGGGACCCAGAGATGCTGCCCTGTGGGGGGGGATGCGTGCTCACGGAGACTGCCCATCCGTACGATTTTATTTTGTTTTTAACAAGCTGCTTTTAGTCTGGAAGAAACAAAAATCTTTAATAAGCTAGCATGTGGGGCTGTGTATTTAAAAGGAGGAGCTGAAGGGTGAAGAAAGTAAGACAGTAAGAGGCGGGTAAGCCCAGGGGGTAAACTGAGGCAAGTCTCAGGCTCCCCTACCCCCACCTTGGGGAGACAGCAGTCCAGCCAAGAGAGAACACAGCGCTGCCTCGGGCTCCCAGTCTGGCCTCCAGTCTCCAGACCATGCCTCCTGCTCCTGGCTTCCCACGGAGACCCCAGGGCCCCCCCAATCCCGACCCCAGCTCCGAGGATGCTACGGGGTGGAGGCGTGCGGCCCAGCTAGCCGCAGGGCGGGGTCCGGGCAGGATCGCTCCCCCTTTGGGCGGAGCCCGTGCGAGTTCTGAGCCGCCTCTGTGGTCTCTGCTTCTCTTACAGAATACAAGGTAAGGGCCGCCCGCTCCCGTGCTGACCTTGGCCTGCTGCTCTGCACCTGCCCAGGTTAAACGTTCCTTTTGTTGTGCTTTCCCGTGAAATGTGTGTGTCAGATGCTCACGCACGTACGTAGCTCTTCCTTGGCCTCGACTCGGCTCTTGGCCCCCTTCCTCACAGACGCACCGGCTCCCTGGGTGACCCCGGGCTTCCTTCTCCCTGCAGATCTATCCGTATGACGCCCTTATTGTCACAAACCGGATCCGAGTGAAGCTGCCCAAGGATGTGGATCGGACGCGACTGGAGGTGAGGGGGCCGCAGGGGTGGAGGGCCACGTCCGCTGGCATGTCTCTCGGCATCCGGCGTGTTGACGCACGGCCCCGAGGTCCCCATGGTGATGGTGCAGGGCCTGCGATGGGCTCAGAGTCAAGGACTCGAGTTGTTTCCAAGACCCAACACTGGAGAACATGGTTATGTGCCCAGGAAAGATGGCTTTACCAAGGGGTGCACAGCTGCTACGGTTTGGGGTTGGGAAGCCTTCGTCACTGCACTTAACTGGGTAACATTCGCCTCTTCCTTGAGCGCTGGGAAAATAAGCACAGTTCCTGGTTTCTTATCTGATCACCTGCACCCTGACCTTGAATGGTGCTTAACGCCGGGAGCCAGGGTATATTTAAAGGACCCGAAGGACCAGGGCACAGAGGGTGTGTGGGTGACATCTCTTGACCAGGCCCCACCACGAGTGATGGTCCCAGGTGGTCAGCATGCATAAAAACTTTACTTCATCCTCACCATCCTTCCCCCAGGAAACCAATGTCCAACGATGGACCGCACCTCCCGAGCCGTGTTGGGAAGGCTTCACAGGGGTGAGGGGTCTGGGAGCTCCCAAAGGCCCAGGGCCACCTGCCCCGTCTGTGCCCTGGGTCTGGGAGCAGCTGTGGGGTTGGGTGCGAGCTCAAGAGGCTGCCGGGAGTGGGGGGTAACGGCGTGGATGTGGCCCAGGGACCCCGGCAGTGCCGAGAGCTCAGCAGGGCTGCCAGGTGGAAGCCCATTCCAGTCCAGGCCAGGCCGATCTGAAATGAAGTGCAGCCTCAGGGGGTCCAGACGGACGCTATGGGGCCCTGATCTCCTTTATGACGTTGATATCTGCTGGATGGGTGGCTGCGCTCACGAGAGCCCCTCACCCAGGGCTCCAGGTAGTCGTGGCAAGGAGGGACGGGGACGCTGGTGTGGCTGCAGCAGTTGGGGGAGGGGGGTACTCAATCTTCTGTTGTGATGATGGAGCCTGACCGAAAGTTGTTCAGTCGCTAAGTCTGACTTAGCAACTCCACGGACTGCAGCACACCAGGCTTCCCTGTCCTGCACCATCTCCAGGAGTTTGCTCAAACTCATGTCCATCAAGTCCGTGAGGCCATCCAACCATCTCATCCTCTGTCGTCCCCTTCTCCTCCTGCCCTCGATCTTTCCCGGCATCAGGGTCTTTTCCAGTGAGTAACCAGAAGTGGTTTAAGCTAAAAGGGAACTGCTAGCGTATCTGACCCATGGGGCTTCAGGGGAGGTCTGATCACTCCTCCACACCCAGGTTCTCTCCTGTTTCCTGAGCGCCTCCTCTGTGTGTCAGCCTCACAGATGGACAGAGTTTCACCTCCCCTCCCCCAGACTCAAAGTCTAGATGGAAGAGACCCAGTGGGGCTCCCAGAGGGGCTCTTGGACCTGGGACCTAGAGACAGGGGGCGGGTGTTGGGCTCTCAGATAATTATGGTATAAATACGTAATATGGGATAAATACGGCCATTTATCCACTTAACCCTTTCCTAGCAGCTCTTTAGTGATGCAGCTATTGTTGAGAGTTGAAAACATAAGGACAATATTAACTAACAAGACTGGTTTTTGTGTGTGATTTGAGGTACTAGTTTCCTTCCCTTATTGATAAACAATTAACACAGTACTCTCTCATTCCTCACAACCTGCCTTAGCCAAAATCATACATGGAATGTTTAATTACAAAGAAGCATTTTATTACCAGTGAATAATTGAAAAACATGCCATGAGTTAAAAATACTTCACAAATTATTTGCTCATGATTATGACATTAAGGCTTCCCAGGTGGCTCAGTGGTAAAGAATCCGCCTGCCAAGGGAGGAGATGCAGGAGATTTGGGTTCGATCCCTGGGACAGGAAGATTCCCCACTGGAGGAGGATATGGCAGCCCACTCCAGTATTCTTGCCTGGAAAATTGCATGGACAGAGGAGCCTGGTGGGTTGCAGTCCGTGGGGTCACAAAGAGTCAGACATGACTAAACATGAGCAGAAGGAAATAACGACTGTGGCCTAGTTCTGTGAACTGTCCAATGTAGTGTGACGTTGTGCATGCATGCTAAGTCGCTTCAGTTGTGTACAACTCTTTGTGACCCTATGGACCTTAGCCAACCTGGCTCCTCCGTCCATGGGCTTCTCCAGGCAAGCATACTGAAGTTAGGTTGCCATGCCCTCTTCCAGGGGATCTTCCCAACCCAGGGATCGAACCTGTGTCTCTTACATCTCCTGCACTAGCAGGTGGTTCTTTACCACTAGTGCCACCTGGGAAGCCTGGGATGAACAGAGCAGGCCCCAAATCAGGCTCAGGGAGTGCCCGCCATGTGGTCTGGAGGATGGGGTCCAGGGCAGCCGCTGCCTGGGCCTCAGGGTGACCACCCCTGAGTTCTTTGCAGGGGATGCACTCTAGTTCCTGCTGAAGTCGGGCCCTCAGTAACTGTGCTCAGGTCTCACTGCTGTAAAACCGGGCATGTCTGGGCTGGGTGGTTCTGTCAGGCCCTGCCTCCAGGGATCCTGTGGTGGTGCACGATTGTTCCCAAACCGTGAATGTCCTGAGGGCTCCCACTCCCTTTGCAGGGGTGGCAGGGGGGCCGGTGAGCTCAGAGCAGGGTGCCCACAGCTCCTGCTCCTGACCCACCAGTGGCCACAGGGCCACCAGCCCGCTGGGACTTGCTGCTTCCCTCCCAGGGAGTGGGGTGCCCTTTCACCAACTCCCATATGCTCCCCCTTTATTTTGCTACAATACAGAATGAAGATGCAAAGTAGCAAATGGTTAATACATGTAAACATTTCCCTTTTATTAAAAAAAAAAGCCTTGGACATGAAGGTAATGAGTTTCATCACCCCCATTTCCAAGAACACCCCAGAGAGTGTGTTGTTCTCTAGTCATTCTCTTCCTGATCTCAGCCACGCCAGGAGGCAGATTGGAGGTGTTACCACACATGGTATGTCTCACATCATCCAGGGTTGGGAGCTGGGCCCTGAGCCAAGAGGGGCTCTGGGGGTGGGAGGTGGGGTACATCTCAGCAAGAGAGAAAGATACAGCAGTGTTTTCATCTCAGGGGAGAGAGCTTAATTTTTAATATAAAAACAGTTCATAACTCTTGTAAAAGTCCAGAAAAATATGAAGAAGAACGTAAACATTCCATGGAATTCCCCCACAGAGTCATCACTCCTGTTAGCCCTGGGGCAGACCTGTTTCCGGAAATCTTTTTTTTTTTTCTTCTCACAGATGCCCAGAGATAACTGAATTCTGTTCTGGATAAGTAGGCTTGTTCTACTGATGTGGCTTGGCACCTACTTTGTTTCTTTTAAATTTGTTATGGACCTTTTCCACGCCAGTTCATGGGAGCCTGCCCATCCTTTTAGACAGCTGTGTGCTAGTCCCGTGGCCTGGTCTGTTGCCAAAGACTTGGCTTCTGTGCACGGCTGCCAAATCGAATCTCCAAGACAGGGCTTTGGGCCAAGTAGGAAAGAAGAGCTGAACTGCTCTGCCAGGCAAAGGGGAACTGTGTGTCCCAACCTGAGAGGGTTTTGTTGAGTTTTCTAGCAAAGGTTCAGGGGTGGAGTTGCTGATAAGGTGTTTGCAGGGTCTGCACTCATTTAATCTGGTCTCAGGTTGATGAGCTTTTCTGGTTCCTTTCAGCTTAAGGCCTCAAGTGCCCTTCCCTGGAATGAAGAGTGCTGACATCTTCCATTTATTGGGGGTTTTATTAGATTGGGTTAATAAAACTGGGGGTTTTATTGAGACTTCCCTGGTGGCTCAGATGGTAAAGCATCTTGTCTACAATGCAGGAGACCTGGGTTCAAACCCTAGGTCGGGAGGATCTCTTGGAGAAGGAAATGGTAACCCACTCCAGTATTCTTGCCTGGAAAATCCCATGGATGGAGGAGTCTGGTAGGCTACAGTACATGGGGTTGCAAAGAGTCAGACACGACTGAGTGACCTCACTTTCACTTATTAGCTTGGTGCAAATGTAACTGCAGTTTCAGACTGTGAATTTCAAATCATTACAACTAGGCTCAGACACATCTTAATTAATCAAAATAGAAACCATTACAATCCACAGATTTTTACCCATTAGAAATAAGTTTGTTTATCCCTGTAGCATAAGAATCAGTGCTTCAGGATTCGATGAACTCCTGGAAAACATATTCTACCTCCTGCTGGTTGTGGAAGCATTTTCCCTGCAAAAAGTTGTCAAGGTGCTTGAAGAAGTGGTAGTTGGTTGGCGAGTGGTCGGGTGAATATGGCAGATGAGGCAAGACTTGTAGCCCAATTTGTTCAGCTTTTGAAGCGCTGGTTGTGTGATGTGTGGTCGGGCGTTGTCGTGGGGAAGAACTGGGCCCTTTCTGTTGACCAATGCTGGCTTCAGGCGTTGTAGTTTTCATGGCATCTCATCGATTTGCTGTGCATACTTCTGAGATGAAATGTTTTCGACGGGATTCAGAAAGCTGTAGCAGATCAGACAGGCAGCAGACCACCAAACAGTGACCGTGACCCTTTTTTGGTGCAAGTTTGGCTTCAGGAGGTGCTTTGGCGCTTTTTCTTGGCCCACCCACTGAGTTGGTCATTGCCAGTTGTCGTATAAAATCTACTTTTTGTCACACGTCACAATCCTGTCAAGAAATGGCCCGCTGTTGTTGCGTAGAATAAGAGCAGACGACACTGCAGAGCGCCAGTTTCTGTGATTTGCGGTCAGCTCATGAGGCATCGAGCTTTTTCACGTTTCCAGTTTGCTTCAAGTGCCAAATGACCGTCGAGTGGCCGGCACTGAGCTCTTGAGCAGCTTCTCGTGTGGTCGTAAGTGGATCCGCTCCGATGATGACTCTCGGTTGTTGCCGACTCCCGATGGCCGGCCGCTCCACTCCTCATCTTCAAGGCTCTCGTCTCCTTTGCCAGCCTTCTTGGACCACTACTGCACTTGTACGTGCACTTGTTAGCAGTTCCTGGGCCAAATGTGCTACTGATGTTGTGAGTTGTCTCCACT